TCTACCCTCCACTTCCCTCCCTTCTACCTACCCTCCGCTTCCCTCCACCGCCTTCCCCTCCCTTTCTACCGACGCCTCCGCACGACGCGCGCCGCAGAGTCTTGAATAATATTTTTCTTCTCCTCCTCCTCCTCCTCCTCGTCCTCCTCCCCTTTCTTCTACGGCTCTACCACTACTTCTCCCCTTTCTTCTACTTCTACTTTCTCTCATCTTTCTTCTAGCGTTTCTACTTCCTTTTTTATAGCATTTTTCAATTCTTTTTACATTTCTAATTTATTTTCAACGGACAGCACAGCTCGTCTTTGCCACGAACACACACACACACACACACACACACACACACACACACTAACACACACACTAAACACACACAAAAACACACACACACACAAAACACACACACACACTAAACACACACACACAACACACACACACACACACACACACACACACACACACACACACACACACACACACACACACAACATATATATATATATATATATATATATATATATATATATATATATACAAAATAAAAAATAAACAAATAAATAAAAAATAAACAAATAAATAAAATCCCATGAGAAGGTTATCTATCCTATCTATCGACCTCTTTCTCTATTTACAACAAAACAACGTATACGAGGAAATGTGATGAAGTAACAAGTGGACTAGGAAAATGTAAGTGTAGACAGTTGTGCAACACTGACTTTCCCTTTCCTTTTGCCCGCCCTTAGTCACCCTTCCTTCCCTCCTTCCTATTTCCTTTACCCTCCCTTTCCTTTGCCCGCCCCCCTCCCTCCCCCCCCCTTCCCTCCCCCCCTTCCTCCTTCGCCCCTCCCTTCTTTCCTCTCCTTCCTTCTCTACCATCTACTTTCTACCTCCCTCCCTTCCCCCTCCCTCCCTTCCCTCCCACCCTCTTCCTTCCTCCTTCCCCCCAACCCGCCCCAGGCATTGTTGGCACTGTCCCTCCCTCGTGTCAAAAGATAGCATAACCACGTCATGGCCGGCCGCTAAAAATAGCCGGGGTTTCGTCTCATGGTCAGCTAAGGATTTGTGTTATCCTTTATATGTATGTATTGCGAGTGTGTGAGTGTGTGGTGTGTGAGTGTGTGTGCGGTGTGTGCGTGTGTTGCGTGTGTGTGCGTGTGTGTGTGTGGTGTGTGTGTGTGTGTGTGTGTGTGTGTGTGTGTGTGTGTGTGTGTGTGTGTGTGCGTGTGTGTGTGTGTGTGTGTGTGTGCGTGTGTGTGTGCGTGTGTGTGTGTGTGTGTGTGTGTGTTGTGTGCGCGTGCGTGCGTGCGTGTGCGTGGGTAGGTGAACATGTGCATGTGCGTATACATGTGCATGTTCGTGTGCATGTGCATTGTGCGTATACATATCCATGTACATATACATGTGCATGTACATGTACGTGTCGTTTGCGTGCATGCGCGCTCGCCCGCGCGTGTGCTTGTATTCCCATTATTCATAATTCTCACATCTGTATATCAATATTCATGCCCCCCCCCCCATCCCACCCCGACCCCTCGCGAGGCAACGCAAAGACGAGGAAGAAGCAAACAAGACGCGAGGCCAACGAGGAGTTCAAAGAAGCCTCCCGAAGCGTCACCGGGCCTTGTTTCCCCAGCTGTTGTCCCCGGCGTCGCCAGGGGGACCAGCAGCAAAAATAAGCTTATTTTTTCTACTAATCTGGTCTTAAAGTGAAAGCAGACGAAGAATTCTCTTCGCATTACACTGACTTTTTTTCTCTTTTTTTATACACAGAAATAAATAAAAAAAGAAAAGAGCCAAAATGAAAGTGTCATTATTGTTCTATATCTTTCATGGGGTTCGAACCAAAAGCGGCGAAGATAAAAAAGAGAGAGAAACGCAGTAGAAAGTATAAATTTCTGGAGGGTATGGAGTAGCTGGGGAAGGAGGAAAGGGAGGGGAAGGAGGAGGAGAAAGGGAAGGGAAGGAGGGAAAAGAAGGAGAAAGAGGTGGAGGAGGAGAGGAGGGAAGGCAGAAGAGAGGATGAGGAAGAAGAGGAGGAATAATAATAATGAGGAGGAGGAGAATGAGAAGGGGAGGGGGAGGAAGGAAGAGGATGAGGAGGAGAAGGAAAATGGGAAGGGGAGGAGGGTGAAGGAAGAGGAAGAAGGAGAAGGAGAAGAGAAGGAAGGAGAAAGAGAAGGAAAAAAGGAGAAGGAGAAGAAGGAACAGGAAAAGGAGAAAGAGAAGGAAATTATGGAGAAAGAAGGAAATTATGGAGAAAGAGAAGGAAATTATGGAGAAAGAGAAGAAAGAAAAATAAGAAGAAGGAGGAGGAGGAGGAGAATGGGAAGGGAAGGGGAGGAGGGAAAAGAGGAGGAGAAGGAGAAGACGGAGAAGTTAAAGGAGAAAGTGGCGAAGGAGAAGGGGAAAGGAAGGAGGGGGATGAAGAAGGAAAAAAAGGCAAAGGGAGGAGGAGATCGGGAAAGATGGTGGAGAAGGTGGAGGAGAATAGAGAAACCAAAATAGATTTCAAGTTTTAGATGTATGCATAAATTGCGTTTGATTTTGGAATTCTTGTCTCGCCTTTCCAATGGACGTTTTATTTTTTTTATTCAGCAATCAATTCATTTATTGATCTTCGTTTCACGCGTATCCATTTGTTATCCTCTGCCGTTTTCCAGTTCTTTCTATTGTTTTTGTCTTATATCTTCCCTCGTTTATCAATTCCCTTCCCCTGTTGTTCAGACTTTCACTATAACCTTTACATCTGCGTTGTTAACACCGTAAAAATATATAAAACAATGGGAGGATGTTGCAACGTGACTGGAAAAAAAATGCAACATTATCATCACAGTATTGAAACTCAAGGCCTATACGCAATGGAAAGTCAGTAAAAACTAAAAATCCTATGAATCTAAACTACGGGAAAATACCAAACAATAATAGGAATCATAATAATTATGTTAATATCAGCGAAACAATTTCAGCAATGACAAAAAAGAAGACCAATGATATTAACATAAACAATAAGATCAATAACCAGTACCATCATCATTACGATCACTTAATTGTACAACAATAATAATGCGACAGCAGAAATGAGCGCCAGACTGAAAATATGCTATGTGGATAACCTCTAAAAAGTAACACTAAACAATAAAAAATAATGTGATTTTCTACAATTTGGTTTTCCCCAATATGAATGTTTGAAAAAGAATATTTGAGTTATGGCAGGTACCGTTTTCTTTCATGGACCTGAGTTTTTCAGTTGTTACCCCTCCAAAAGCAGACGTTTTCTATCAAAGCTCTAAAACCTCGTTTTCTTTCCAGATTCCATGGTAAACTTGTATAACTTGTTCAACTCGCTCATAAACAAAAATAAAGATGTACACAAACTTAAAGAATTACAAAGCCATTCATTAACACCAATCTAGAACCATCTGTCATTCCTACATCCTTACATAATTACCCAACGATTTAGAAGCACATACCAGGAAAATAACGACCAAGGCATATATCACCCAGGCCGGAGTTAGTGCACGATGCGTGTCAACATCAACGCAGCGCAACAGGATACCTCTCCAGTCCTAAAGGATCGATCGCGTGCAAACCGCAACCCCGTCAAGAAGGCAATATGACGCCCGGGCAATTATCTGTCGGATTGTGTTCATTTTCCCCGAAGTTTACGACATTGCATGAGCTCTTTCGTCACCTCCATCCTTTCCTATTCCTCTTCCCCCTGCCATTCCCCTTCTCCTCTCCCCTCCTTTCCCCTTTCTCCTACTTCTCAACTTTTCTCTTCCTCCTCGTCTTCCCTTCCTTTCCCTTTCCTTCTCTTTGTTTTTCTTCCTCTTCGAACTGCCCTAACAGAATTCCTGGGAAGGTAAGGGAAGAGTTAATAGGAAGAGATAAGGGTTAATGGGGAAGGAGAAGAGTTAATGAGGAAAGGGGAGGATTAATGGGGAAGAGGATTCCGATGATCAGGACGCGACTCCTCCCGACGCGCGTGCGACGTCCTCCGTTGCAGTTCAAAGGCAGCGCGAAACACCACCAGCGGTACATCTGTCGCACCTACACCATATGCACTGTTAAATCCGACTTTACCTCTCATGCACTTTCTCTCACTTATTGCGGAACCAATTAGTCAACAAACACACCACCTAATTCACACGCCGACTGACCTAACAGCTGATAAACTCCCCCAACCTAAAACCGGCAATTTCCCCCCCACACAAAACCCCCATCCCGGGACCTCCCACTCCTCGCGACCTCCTCTCGCTCACCTTTTTGGCGGTCCTGAACTCGGGCATCGAAATGGAGTGCCGAGGTACCCTGGGCGAGGGCGTGGTGGTGGCGCTGCTGTTGGTACTGGCGGAGGTACTCGTGCCGGTACTCCCAGCCGAGTGGGACGAGGCCGACGTGCCCGGGCGGCTGACGGCGGAGATGGGGCACGCGGCGATCGTCGTCGAGCGCCGGATGGTCACGATCGGGTACGTGCCCAGGGAGCTCGGGCGGGTTGCTGGGGCGAAGGGGTATGCGTACCTCGTGGCGGGATTGGTAGTGGCTGTGCTTCGGTATGGTGGTGTGGTGCTTGGGGTGGCAGGAGATGGGGTACAGGTAGATGGGGCAGTGGTGGCAGATGTGGTAGTGGTGACAGATGTGGCAGAGATGGGGCAGTGATGGCAGATGGTAGTGGTGGCAGATGTGGCAGAGATGGGGCAGTGATGGCAGATGTGGCAGCAGATGCAGCAAGATGGGCCAGATAGCAGATGCAGTGGGGCAGATGGGGCAGTGCAGAAGTGGGGCAGACAGAGTGGGCAGTGTGGCAGCAAGTGGGCAGATGTGGCAGATGGGGCAGTGGTAGCAGGAGATGGGGTACAGGTAGATGGGGCAGATGGGGCAGATGGGGCAGTGGTAGCAGCAGGTAGATGGGGTGTGGCATGGCAGATGGTGGCATGGGGCAGTGGGTGGCAGATGGCACAATGGGACAGAGTGGTGTCGAAGACAGGGTACTGACGGCAGAGTTAGGGTACAGAGATGAAGCAGTGGTGGCATATGTGGTAGTGTGGCAGCAGGGGGGCATTGGTGGCAGATGTGGCAGGGGATGTGGTTGTGATGACAGGGGATGTGGCCCTGGTGGCATAACATGTATTCATGGTGGTTGATGTGACTGCACATTTGTTGCTGGTACCTAAGGCTGTGGCATCGGCTGTGCTGCATGGACGTACATGTTTAGCATCATGGCATGCAGTTGTGGTGAGCAAATACGTATTTATGGCACTTGTGAGTGTAGCAGGCACTGTCCCCGCGGCACTCTCCCGGGGATACACAGAGGTAGCTGGAGAGGTAGCTGAACATGCGTTCGTGGCACTCTGGCACCCGGAAAGAGCTGGAGTCATGGCATGGGTCCTCGGGCATACGGAAGTCGCTGGACCAGTGACAGTGACACCTGAGCTCGCAGTAGTAGTAGCGACAGTTGGCCACAGAGCCTTGGTCGGATTCGCGTCAGTTTTACCGACCTTACTTGACGAAAGGTACGTGGCATCGGCTGGGTACGTCCTCGCGGTGCCAGCGATCTGGCTGGAGGTGGTTGTGGCAGGGGGCATAAGGGCGGCTTGGCACACAGTCGTAACGCTGCCACAGGTGCCTGTAGTTCTGCGACCGGCGGGCGTGCCCTGGCAGATGATGGAGGTCCAAGGGCGTGAAGCAGTTTTCACGGGAGTGTCGGCAGTACTTTGGCGGACGGGGATGGTGAGCGGGGACCCGACGGCGGCCTCGCACGCAGGGCCTGGCACGGTCTTTGTGTCACAGCGAGAGGTGGTGGTGCCAGGGGGAGTGGTAGCAGCGTCAGGGAGCGTGACAGTGACCCCCGGATGAGAGTTATTGGTAGTGGTGGAGTGATACTTTGTGGTCAAACTTATATTTGTATTATTTGGACGAAAAAACGTGCTTGGGTATGATGGTAGTCTGGTAGTAGTGGCAGTCGGTGTGGAGGCAGCCGTCACGGGCGTGCTCCTGGTGCCATTCGGAGTGGCCGCTGTAAAGGAGCGTGGCGCCGTGATACCAGGACCTATAGTTATGCCTCCGGTCGTGACAGAGGGCGAACGCGTGGCACTGGAACTGAGACGCGTTTCTGTCACTCCTGGAGTCAGAACAGATGCCGGGGATGAAAATATGGAGGCAGAATGTGGAACCGTGGTAGCAGGGTGTGGGGCGGGTGATTTGGATGCGGGACTGAGGGACGTGGCAGGGCACGTGTCTGTGCCAATGGAATGTGTGGCAGGGGACAGGGCCGTGGTGGTGGCTGGGCGTGTGGCTACGGAAGGGGACGTGACTCTGGAGCTGAGGAAAGATGTTGCTGTGGCTGAAGTTGTGGCCGTGGGAATCGGGTCTGTGGCTATTCTGGGAAGAATGGTGGTCTTGATGTGGCGTGTGATGATCGGACATGTCGTGGATGTGCTTGTGCTGGTGGCAGCTGTCAGGGGATGTGTGGTGGTGGCGGTGATGATGATGGTGGTGATGGTGCCAGGGCTCGACCCGACGGCGGTGGTGTTGGTGATGATTGTGGTGGCCTTGGGAAGGGGCTTCGAGGGCAGAGAGGAGGAGGAGGTGTTGGCGCCGGGAATGGCAGCGGGATCAGACGAGGTAGTGGACGAGCTCGTGTTGGGAATGTAGTTAGTAGATGTGGAAGCGGACGCAGGAGTGGAGGTGGAAGGTGAAGTGGAAGTAGAAGCGGAGGTGGAGACGGACGCGTCGGCGTCGTGCGGAGTGGTCCTGAAGGTGGAGGTGGCGAGGTTGTCGGTAATCCGCGGCGACGCGAAATCCACGTGGGACCAGCGCCGGTGGCGGAAGTAATCCAGCATGTTCGTCGGTGGTCTTCCTTCGGGACACAAGGACTCTGCCGGTCACTGCCGCAGGAGGGCGTCCTTCACCATGGCCACTCCCCCAAACACTATATAAGGATACACCTTACGCACAAATCACTTACACTGCACTCGCAATATTTTCGAAGAACGAATGTGTTATCGTTTGTATCTATCTCACTCTTTTTCAAGGAATGCGTCGCCCGCGGTCCTCCTCGACGCAAGAGGTGTGATGGAATGATCGAGAGAAGTATGACGACCGCACGTCACTCGCAGGACCTGACGGACGGGTTGCTGACGCACCGCCAACAGGTAGCGGCAACGGCAGAGTGGCGGCGCTTCTGCCAGGTCGCGGCAAACCAAGCGACGGTCTGGTGTCCTGAACTGCAAAGGGGAGAGGGAGGGGCGGGAGGACAATAGCGCCTCTCGCGAGAAAACGCCGAGAGCAGCAGCAGGTAAGCCGAGGCGCCCACCTGCGCGTCGCCGCCAACGGACACGTTCACACGCAGCGGCGGCAAAAAGGACCGGACGGAGCGCCGCCAAGATGCACGTGGGAAAGGGCGCGCCGCCCCGCCGAGAGCTGACGCCTTCCCCGGCGCGAGGCTGGGACTGAATCCGCACCGGATCGCCCCCCGTCCGCACTCGGAGAGAGACACGCAGACACGCAAGCGGGCACGCGGCGGCGCAGCGCATGCCCATACACGCCCCGACGCGCTGGAGTCACTTGGCGCGGGGAAGACCCTCCCTCCGCGCACGCCTCTTCGAGGGAGGAACAAGGGAGCACGAGAGGCGACAGGAACAGGGAGAGCAGGAAAGGAGGGAGAGAAGGGCGTAGAGCAGCCACGGGGGTCGCGGGTTTGCGGCGGAAGCAGGGCAGAGTCGTCACTGGTCGTCCGTCACCCGTGACTGACGACAAGGCAGCACACCTTCGCTCCAAACACGTAATGGAAACGGGTCAGACCGGAAACAAAGAGGCGACATCTGATCACTTGTGACAACCTTCCCTGCCTCCCTGCCCCCCTACCCCTCCCCCTCCCCTAAGGATCCCCGCCCCTCCCTCCGTCTCCCCTAACCCTCCTCTCCCAGAGACCGCAGGTTCTTTCATTTAAAACCTCCTCAAACCATCGTTTTTTTCACCACAAAATCAAACCACTATTATACTCCAAGTCATTCTCTCACTCGCCGTCCCTCGCCACACACAAACCTCAAGAAAAGAAAGAAAAAAGGAAAATAAAAACACTTTCGCGGCGCTCGGCGACGCACCTCGCATTCTTTCCTCCCTTCAGCCGCCACCGCCACGCCAGGCGGAGGCTTGTCGGAATCCCGCGCGAATGCCGGGCACCGCGCAGCCAATTCGCGGACGCGCTTTGTCCTTTCCGTTCCCCGTCTTGTCCTCCCTCTGTCCCTTTCTCTCTCATTCTCCCTCTCTCCCACTTTCCCTCTCCCTCTCCCCCCGTCTCTTTCCCTTCATCCGACCTTCCCTTCACCTCTCCCCGCCCCTTTGAAACGAACACGACGAAACAAACGCACAAACGCCGCAAATGAAGCCGTGAATGGATCCATCCCCTCACTTCAACGACAAATTTCCCCTCCTCCTCCCTTCTTTTTAAGTGACATGATTATCCCCACGTGCAAACCTAACCTCTACCCTCCCCGCCCTCCCCTCCCCTCCCTATCTTGTGCTTCCCTCGCTACCCTATCCCCTTTCCCCTCCCCCCTTCCCTCCCTCCTCCCATCTCTCCCCACCTTCGCTACCCTCTCCCCTCCCCTCGGCCCTTTCTTCCTTTCCCAACCCCCTTACTCGCTCCTACTCCCCTCCAGGTCACTCCCACTCCCTCCCCACGCCCCTCGAGTCTTCCTCTCTATTCTCCTGTCTGTTCTCCCCACTCCTTCAGCCGCTCCCCTCGTCGGCTTTACTGACCGACTGACAGACAAACAGACGGAGACACTAACGAGCTGAATCAATTGGCGAGTGCCAGTGTGTGTTTCTGTGGCAGAATGGTTGACTGGTTGGCTGTCTGAGCGCTTCTCTGCAGATAAGTAGACAGACCGGCTGACAGACATTACCGAACCCATAAACAACCAGCCAGTCAGCCTACTCTATCAACACCGAGGAACAAGCAACCACGCGCTCGTCAATCGGACCCAATAACATCTCTCCTCTTCTCCCTCTTGTCTATCTACCCTCCCCTCCATCTCTCTCCTTTGTCTCTCTCTCTCCTTCCTCCTCTGCTCTCTCTCTCTCTCTCTCTCTCTCTTCCCCTCCCTCTCCCTCTGCTTGCACCGGGTCTGCTTGCAGGTCCTGCCCTCTACCTGCCAGCGCGGACCGCTTTCCCTCACTAATCGAGGGTGAACAAGCAGGTACAAGGATCAGGTGTCGCCGCGTGAATCACCAGGTCTGCTCCACTGCTCCCTCTCGCATCGCAGGCCCTGTCCTCATTCGCCGCTCAACCTCACACAACCTTGCAGCTCTACTCGGCAACCTCAAAAACGAATAACAACAACTCACGCACGCAACTCCCATTTTTTACCCTTCAACCTCACTAACACCTCACCTACCCCGGAAATCACTAAATTTCTCGCCTCAAATTATTCATACAACCCCAAGAATTACTCCGAAACCTTTGCAAATTGCACGCAACTTCAAGACGACATATCACGCACGCCGAGAAGCCACGTGCAGTGCAAGACCTCCCCCTCCCCCCTGCCATTGCCTCTAAACCCTCGTCCGTCCTTTTAACTCGTCTGCCCCCCCCCCATCCCCTCCCCTTCTCCCCCTGCCCCTCCCTGCCTTCTCAATTTCCACACCAGTGATTCTTTCTCTTTCTCTCTTTCTCTCTCTCTCTCTCTCTCTCTCTCTTTTCTACCCTCTCTTCTTACCATATTCATTCTGAATACCTATCCTTCTCACTGTCTGCCCGTCTGACTGCCAAAGACACAACAAAACACCAAAAATATCTACCTTAAAAGAATTCTCTCTTCATTCCAACATAAAAGGAAAAGAAAAAAAAATAATGATAAAATCGGAAAAAAGAAAAGAAATTCGGCCAGACAAACAGCCGCTTGCGAAATCCCTCCCCTGCCCAGATTCTCGCGAGCAAATGACCCGTATCATGTGATGAGCCTCACTTTGGGGCCACGTCGCTCATTCGCGGGGTTATGCAAGATGCTGAGGAAGGGGAGGAGGGGAAGAGAGGGAAGAGGGGGAGGGGGGAAGGGTAGGAAGAGGAAGAGGGAGGGGGGAGGAGAGGGAAAGAGAGGAGGGGGGAGGAGAGAGAAAAAGGGGAGGGGGGAGGAGAGGGAAGAAGGGGGAGGGGGAGGAGAGCGAAGAGGGGGAGGGGAGGGGGAGACGGAAGGACGCGACAGAGAGGGAAGGGAGAGGAAGGAGAGAAGAGTGAGAAAGGAAGGAAAGGAAAGGGATAAAAATGAGATGATGGGATGGAAGGGGAGAGAAGAAAGATGAGAAAAGGAGAGGAGGAAGAGAGAAAGAGAGGAAAGAAAGGAAAGGAGAGAGAGAGAGGAAAGGAAAGGAAAGGAGAGAGAGAAAGAGAGGAAAGGAAATAGTGGCGCGAGAGACAAAAGAGGCGAGGAGAGAAGAAGAGAAAAGCGAGCGTGTCAAATGAATCACACGGAAGAAAAAAGGAAGAAAGGCTGGGAAGGAAAGAAGGTGGGAAACCCTGACGCTAAACCAGATAATAATTACCGCGATGACAGACGACGAATCCAGAGGGAAGAGACGAGAAACAGGAAAAGGAGAAGGAGAAATTTTACAGAGGACAGAAAAAAATCATACACATACACACACGTAGAAAAAAAAACAGAAAAAAATGCAAATAGCCGACGTGAGAACTTCGAAGCCAAGGTGGTAAACAAGCGAGATCAATCGGCGTGTGGGAACTGGGTCAAGATGTCCGTTCGTCCGTTCGTCCGTTCGTGTGTGCGTGCGTCCGTCCGTCTGGCGCTCGCTGGCCGCTACGCCGCTTCGGGGAGGCGATCGAGCGTCCAATATTAATTGGATGGAAACAGGGGGTCTGTTTGCTATTTGTTTCTTCCTTGGTTTTGATGTTTATTTGTTCTGGTAACAGTTTTTCCGGAGATTTAGATTTATGCTTTAGTTTATGCGAGTGTGTGAGTGCAGGAAGGGGTGGCATAGGACTTCAAGGACTTGAACGCCACGAAGAAGGGAATGCAAGACGAAAATAAATGAGCAAAACAAGAAGTTAAAGAAAATGTTAGTGAAACAAAAGAAACAACAAGATCATTCCCTAAACAAAAGAAAACAAGAAAGCAAAATAATCCAGTAACGACACACAACCCCGGCAGAACAAGAAGAGCAAATCGCGCAAAAGCAAAGGCCGCAGAAAGAGGCAAATCCACCCGCGCAAAAACCGCGCAGTCCCCCCCTCGAGCCGCCCCGCCACGGACATGATGCGGGTCTGGGCGTAAGGGCAATGCAAACTCGAACATGTACATAATTCGCCTGATGTGCACATGAATACGTACATAACGCATACAAATAGAACGGAATCACATGTCGGCATCCTTTGAGACTGAATGCCCATGTAAACATAAAAGATACATGTATACGCACGCTGATGCCCATGTAAACAAACAATGTATATAAATATAACACTTCCTGCAGAGCTATGGATATTGGATACACACTGAAAGCGCATCTCCATACACACGTCTTAAGAACTGAACGCCACAAACACATAAAGATAGAGATAGAGATATAAGAGAGATAGGTAGATAGATAGAATAAAGAGAGATAGGTAGATAGATAGACAGAGATATAAAGAGATAGGTAGATAGATAGATAAATAAATAACCAGGTAGATAGACATTTCCAATCCCCCCGACAGCGCGCGCGCTCTCTCACCGGAGACAGCCGCCGCCCGTCCCGCCGATCGGTTGCGTCACGGCCGCCGCCCGCGGGTTCGGCCGGAACAAAGGGTTGCCGTAACAGGTCATAAACGTCGGAAGTCCCTCCGCCGCAG